TGAGGTTTTGGTTTTACTGAACTTATATTTCGGTAGTTAAAAGTGTTAGTGTTTAATCTACATCTAATTGTCTATCTATGTTCTACCTCGCTTAGGTAGAAACATTATGTTCTGATTACGTGATTGAATAACATTCACACCACCGAGATCATTACCAACCGAGACCTCACCAAAGCTGGTAGCGATCGAAGATGAGTAGTCTTCGTCTTCTCCGCACTGCGTGCAGTTCGGTCTGGCATGTCTAGATTTCAACAGCGACATCTAGCTGCAGCAAGACATTCTCTTTCTGAATGCGTCAGTGAGCCACAGTTTCGGCAGGCTGGAGTCCGAGAGCAGCCGCCGGTACTGTGGTACCCGAAGCAACGTTTGCAGATTGCTTGCGTTTGATGCTTCGGGACTGTGGCTGCCCGTCCCGAGTCCTCAAAAAGTCGGAATCCCGTTCGAGGGGCAGATCTGCTCTCGAAAAAGGCTACCCAATTACGGTATCTGGCTCCGTACTTGCTCTTACCGTGCCGCCGCAAGAATTTTGGTCTCATCCCAGTGACGCGTTCTATTTCAGAAACAATGTGGCTTTCCGAAATAGTCACTTGCCCATCCAGCGAGATAATGTGGACGGGTATATTGGGTAGCATGAGGCTAGGCCAGTTTCTTGCTGGCTCGTGGCAAATGTCTTGCGGAAGGCGGCCCGCACAGCTCAAGAGCAGCTTTCTTGCATTCTTATCTTTGGCAATAAGAACGAAGCCAGCTGCTGTTGGCAAAATCTTGTCAATGTTTGTCAGGGAACAGGCAAACTTACTAATGACTGCTACCCGAATTCCAGCAGTCGAAAGTGACCTCCAATCGTGATTCTTGGGGATCCGAAGGTATAGACCATCCTTCTTCTTCCCTTCTGGCTCCTTCAATCCATGACCAGGCCGAGATAAAAATTTTGCAGCTGGAGGAATAGGCTCCCTCTCTCCGAGTTTATTTTCCGACAATAGCGGCCCAAGAATTAGCTTTAGAACCACTGGGAGCCGCAGTGCTGGGTCGGTGAGTTTCCACAGGCGTGGGCTTTGCCTGGGGAAATGCTGGCACTTTAGGTAGTACTGGTGGGGCGGCCCTGGGCCCTACCTGGATGAACTGGGCGATGAATGCCCGAAGATAGACTCGAAAGGAGTCAATAAAGTTTTATTGTTCTCCCGTTAGCATAGGAGAAAGGTATTTTTCCACGACGTTAATGGTCGAGGAGCAAATTGAGATATTGGCAGCTGCTTCTGCTGCCCGTCGTTTTTCATTCTCGACGAGGACGGCCATCTCTTCTGGGATAACAGAAATGTTCGATTCCTGCTCCGCATCACTCCCTTTTTCCAGGGATTCATCACGGGCGGTATTGGATGGAGTCATGGTGATTTTGTCAGTTTCTGGCAGCCTTGTGGGCAAGGCTGCGATCTTTCTCGATGAGGTTGCTGACAACCTAGGAGTAGTTGGCGACGGGATCAATTTCTCCGTCTGCTAAATTGGCTCAGGGCTGCCTGAATTAGTTGGGGCAGCCCATATGGAGTCGGATAGGCCTTTGGTGACGAATTCGTCGACGGCCCTGTCAATCATCTCGATCTCCGGGGCATCCATGTTATGAATGCAAGGTTATGGGAGGTGGAATAGTTACCGGTAAATAACTGCACGTTCACTGAGGCTTGAAGGTAGAGGTAGATTGTAATGAATTAGTAGACTTGCTTACTTTCATTCAAGTTTAGAGAATCACTACTTTTATATACATATACCACATTCTATGGCTTTCCATATCCCCAGTCGCTCAGTTCCATTCAGCTCTGAGTCATCACATTCTATTCCATCCTGTTCTATTCTATCCGACTCTGGTCTGTTCTGTTTTAACCATTAGATTCTACGTCTCTATGATCCACAATAACCAGATGCAGGGGTGGTTATGTCATCAATCACAACAATCCATCACTTTGGTGGTGATGGCAGCTTCGGCATTATCAATGTCCATCTCATCGATGGTGATGCCGTACTCCAATAGGCGCGACCGTAGTCGGAGCTTGGCGTAATCCACCAGCGAGTGCTGGTGTCTCGTAACTCGTACCAATGGCATGGTCGCCAGCGGTACGATGGGTCCACGGGTTTGAATCTCTCGAGGGTGGTGGGAAGATAAAGATTGATAAGGTTTTGAAGTGAGGTAAGGGTGTTAGATCGCTGTGGAGGCGATTTAAAATGGAATTGCGATCGAATTGGGGGATATTGAGTTGCTGTAAGTGCAACAACTTAGTAATTTCTTTCGTCTCAGAAGAAATGCTGGTTAGAATCTGAGGTTGGTGCCATGAAGGTGCCCAGATGGTATTCCGCTGCTCCAGGTTGTTGAAAGAAGCAAGGAACTTCAATGTACATCCAATTCTCATTAGTTGTGTGACTGGCTTGTTGATAAAGTTGAGTAAACCAAGGTCAATCTGGTTGGTGATTGTCAATTCATCTTCCAAAGTGCAGAACAGATGACCTTGGATTAGGTGGTCTTTCTAGAGTCTTAAAATCCTCAGTCCATAATAGATTAGATGCTTCTGGTGTCTGACTTTGTCAGGTATCCCGAGACAGTTGTGTATACGAGGACGTCGCTGTTATGCTAAACATGTCTCGACATATAAACTGCATCAACTTGCTTGATACATTTGTATATGTTTCGTCCAGAGATTAGATGTTACACTAATTAGCCTAATACAATGACTAGCCCAATGTACTGACTAGCCTAATATGCTACAGTCTCAACATGAATAGGCTGCTAGCTGAAACGGCGGGAGAGTCTTGAAGGAATCTTGGACGGGAATATATGTATCTTAGATTTCTAGCAAGTAAAGGGATATACTGTTTTTCTCTCATCATCTAGATCTATGTCATTTTTTACAACTGCACAGGACAGACCCTTACATTCCTGATAGACTTTGACTGGCATGATTGCTGCCTCCACCTCAAGGGCCTTCATAGGACTTCTTTTACAGGCTCCAGTGATCATTGGTAGTGCCTGATTCTGAAGCCTTTCACATTTATTGGTTAGTGATCCAGTTCCCCTCTTACCATGCCATAGGATAGAGCCATAGTCGAGAACTGAAGTGACAAAAATTAGGTATAGTTGACGAAGAGCATGACAGTGTAGTCCTCGAGTGGCAGAGGCCAAGTTCCGAATCCTATGGAGTGCCCCATGGGCAAGCTGTAATCTCTTGTCCACATGGGTTTTGAAGTTAAGTTTTTGATCAAACCAGATTCCAAGCCACCTGACAAACGCCTTACCCTATATACTCCTAAGTAAGTAATAAATACAACCATAACTCCATTATGTTCAGGTACAGGAATGATTATATTTGACCAACAATCTTATAATTCAACAGAATGCAAATATATATGTACATATAATTAGAATGGTTCCGGAAATTGTAAGAATGACATACCAAGTATGAGGATAAATTAGAGCTATGATGAGTTTGTTTAATGTACGACGAAGTCTACTGATGTTTAATGGATAGTTAATTGTGATTAAATTGCTATAATTCTATATGTGTGGCGAGAAGTCCCTCTACATACATGAAAGCGGCGTCTTCCGCACACAAGTGTGAACTCCAACAGACTTCCTAATCTAACCTAAATGGGAAGGTCGTTGGAGATTCTGAAGGCAATGTATGCTGTCAGGCATCTATTGGCTAATTACTATTCATGCCAGTGAGTGATGATATGGGTTAATCATATCTCATGGCGCCAGTGCATATTATTCTAATATGTACTATTTGTCTACTGCAGTCATGTTGCTGCCTTAATTACAACACATATAACACCGACCACATATTGTAGCAATATATCGTAGTTTCCATTAAATGAGAAGATCAGGAAATGCTCTTGCTGATAAAACGCCCCATCTTAGGGGGGCTATTCTCAGCACCTGTCAGTGGTGTCCCCTACAAACCTCCAGCTCTCACTGCAGAGTCTGCAGAGCCGAGATTGAGTAACAAAGTCCTCACTTCGATGAGGATTCCCATTCGGATACGCGGTCTGTATCGTCTTCATCTCTCAACACATTCCTTTATCACTATTTTCATGAAGCTAACCACGATCAGATCAGATGGTAGGGTCGGAGCCCTTCTTGTCACCAACCCTTGATCGTGGGGGAAAAACCACCCGATCAGTTTTCGGAGCACGTCCAGCACCTAATACGGAGATGGTGGATTGGATCAAGTCGACCTCGACTATTACAAAGAAGGGAGGTATAGATGAATATGCGCACCTCATGTGGTCCCGGTGTCTAGGCCTCGCTTGGCTGGGGCTGCAGGTTTTTTGAGACTTTTTCCCGCGCACGCAGTTTCCATTGCAACTATTTCTATTTTTTTTAGGTAGAAGTTTCCGTGGAAAAGGTGGCCAAATTCCACGGGTAAACACTGAGACGAATAGCTATTCATCATGGGCAATTCATCTATGATCTTTCAAGTAACAAAAGAAGATAGGAGCACTGTGAAAGGTGTGGCCCAGGTCAGAGAGGAGCCCAATATGCTAGATAGTCTACAACTCAAGTAGCACAACAAACAACACACACACAACGCCCCATCGTACTCACCCGATTTCCAATTATCTGCTTAATTAGAGTTCCCTGGAAAGAGCTGATCATTCTCAAATATATAACAGCATAGAAACACTTGAAACCGAATAATTACACTGATAGAATTGACGCACTTCTTTCTGAAGTGTTATATTTGATATAGAAACTCTTTTGCAACTACTGAATTGTATCAGCCTGCTAATTATAGAAATAGCTACCTGCATTAATGGATGTCATGTTCACCATATAGAGTATTCCTTCACCAAGATGAAGGCATGGCGAGGGAGCTAGAGGACTAAATTTGTTGTATTTCCTTCTCCCCTTCTATCGGTCCACCAGTATACATGTGCCGTAAAGGAAGCATGGAAAGAAGTTACCTACCCGCGATATCGATAATTCTGAACTATAGGCATAATAGGTCTAGATTTCCTTACACATACTCAAGTTTAATAGAGGGAGTAACTTTTTGATCGGGTTGCTTCACCCGGTGAGGATAATCTTTCAACATTTGTTGATATAGATCAGACCCGAAGCTAGCTAAGAAAAAACTCTTTTCTAGGAAGTAGGAGTTGTGACATTTCTTAGGCTTAATTTTGGACCAGGAGCCCTTGGATGCATAATAAATACCGCGGTAGGATTTGTCTAAATTGAACCCAACCATGAAGAAATCTAATTTACTTCCATCTAACTGGTTAGCACGAGGATAGAATGCAAATATCATGATCTGTACCTATTTTAAAAATTTCAGGTAGTCTCATAGGCCACAGCCACAAGCTCTTATTGTACAACAATGGAAATTGGCTGCCTCGATGCGACGGTTCGCTCAGAATACGGCGACCTTCGGAAATGTGGTTCATTATGGTTTTCCTCAAGAAGGTGCGACCTCGACAAGAGTATAGCTTTTTATAATCTTTGACATTTTCATCATTGGCGTTCAAAGGGTGCTCTTCAGAAAAAATACCAGGTTGTTGCTTAAGGGCCCAAATTCTTGAACAAACAATTTCCTCCTTATCTTTACCATGTCTTAATATTACGCCTTCTAGATGGCATAAAGAGCTGAAAACAACCTGACAAGTTCCGAACTGACCTAATGATTAGACATTAGGCTCTGAATTAATCTAAATGAGAGGAAAATATGTACCAGTGGAAGACCTTATTCGACTTTTACCCTTCAAATACGAACCCCAAAGATTTGTTGCAGAAAATGATTTACCTCTGTAACTATGCAGGTCATTTGTCAATTGAGGATGGCTCTTCTTCAGTTTAAGTAGATGACATTGTTTTTCCACAACACTCATAATTTCACTCAATTCTATGAATTTATGATCGCAGCTGAAACCTATTTGTTTGTATCTATCATCCTTGTCCGCGATGGGAGAACTAGAGTCTAAAGATGTATGCACTTCCATACACTTTTCGTAGGTAACAGGTGTGGCGGGTACGTTAGGTACAATAGCTTTAACAATACCTTTTAATGAACCACAAGAATCTATGACAGCGCGATATTGCGGGATAAACCCTTCAACAACATTAACTAACATTCGCTGAATTCTGAGGGCGACATGGGGAATTAAGCATACTGGAGAGAGATTTTTTATCAGATCGTCCTTGTGGCCACAGATAAAGGTTATCATCATTCGGACCAAATAAATGGGTGTCATCGAGTAAGGCAGGAAACTTTGACCGAGGTTTCTGGTTTCTCAGTTTTTCCCGGGCTATCAATGCAGTTTTTTCTGAATATTCCTTGGTAAATATTGTGTCAGAACACATGTACCCATTCGGAGCGATGGGAAGAGTTGCGATTGCTAATGTCGCATCGTTGTAAAAATTAAGGCCATGAAGGCCATTAGGGACATCTGATAGACTCGATGTCATCCACATTTGGACCGTAAAATCTGTCAAAAAGATAAACTATTTGATTTTTGAGGGGTTGGACAACAATGCTTGGACAGATATCAGACATAATTCTCATATACACGGGAAGCACATCACTTGATATTTGTTTAATCTTTCAATTCTTATGCTAAATTTTACGTAGCCTGATTTGCCGTCCCTATCTACCACTTAGTGTCTAGGATCATCTATTCATATTTAACGGATTTTTAAGTTGAAGGTCCCAGCCTTTATCTTATTAAATGATTAATCCATTGGTTGTTAGTTTAACATATCAGGCATGAGTACTGCACCTAATTTTACATGACACAGGTAGATGGATCAGAAGGACTATAAACTACCAAAATGAACAATATTATATGAATCATGATTAAAACTAATCATCAATCAGCGATTTTCTCCAGCAACCTCCAGTTCTCACAGCGAATTCTATTAACCTGAGATTGAGTAACATCTTTGTCCTCTTTGCAATGAGGAATCCCAATCGCTCTCGCAGTCTATACCGTCTTCATCTCTCAGCATATTTTCCTACCATTATGATTATGAAGCTTAGTACAATTAAATTAAATGGTAGGATCGAAACCCTAATTATGATCCACCCACTTTTATTAGTCGTGGAAAAAGGACCATCTGATGAGTTTCTGGGGCACATCCAGCACGCAATACGGAGATGGCGGATCAGATTGAGTCGGCCTCGACTATCACAAAGAAGGGGGGTATAGATGAATATGCGCACCTCGTGTGGTCCCGGTATCTAGGCCTCGCTTGGCTGGGGCTGCAGGTTTGTTGAGACTTTTTGCCACGCACGTAGTTTCCATCGCTACTTTTATTTTATATCACTTTTTGGGGTAGAAGCTTCCGTGGAAAAGGTGGCCGAATTCCACGGGTAAACACTGAGACGAATAGCTATTCATCATGGGCAATTTATCTATGATCTTTCAAGTAACAAAAGAAGATAGGAGCACTGTTAAAGGTGTGGCTTGGGTTAGAGAGGAGTCTGATGTACTAGATAGTCTCAAACATAGGCAGTGCTATAAATTTAAATCAAATTGAATGTCACGGTTCGATTGTCGATGTTGGAGCAATCAGATATAAGAAGGTAGGTTATAATTTTCTCTATGGCTAGCTATTAGAGGATTACTTCAACTATTTATACATTTATGAAAAGATAAAGAATACTCGTTCTTGACTGATATCTGCTTTTTGCATATTCCACTTATAGTAGTTCCCAGTCTTGCTACCAATTACTAAAATATTCCAGTTACGACTCAACTGATCTGGAAAAACCCTAGACTTGTGTACGATTATATCAGAACGTGGGTTGGATGGTGCAGTGGTACACCATCCGGGCCGTCCTCCCAAGTAGATACTGGGTAGCTTGAACACCTACCCCATTCGAGACAGGAGAAAGTTGGTTCAAATCCAGTAATACCCACACATCACTTTCTCTCGCGGTGATATTATACTTGTGGGACGATGAAAGCACGCTCGTAAAGCCACAGGTTTTTCACGCTTTTTCCTGTGGTGGGCATGCACGGAAGAGGTTGCACGCCGTAAGGGTTAACCTCGGGTGGTATCTGCAAATGAAATCTGAGTGTGAGTGTTCTAAATGTCAAATTGTGTCATCCTACTTAAAGGACATATCTTCCGATAAAAACCTGCATGAGCCTCAGGGCGCCAAATCAGGTAAAAAGAACTATACATATATCAGAACGTGTTCACAGTCACGTGCCATACAACAATCGGCCCACGAGCCGTTTCACTGCAATCTTCTCCTTTTATTTTTTTATTTTGTTTTGTAAAATCTTTTTTTGATTTAGTACCAACTGCATAGCATGAGATTCGTTGGACGGACGACCTTCATATACACTGTAATCTTCTAGCGTAGGATGATAAGATCCTAGCTATTATTTACTTTGGTGGGTCTGTGTGGGCGCCAACACGTCGGGTAGTTTAATTTAGACTGGGCTAACCAGTACAGTCAGACCCCCGTTAAGACGATATATTTTCCGGAAAGAACTTCGTTCCCATACATTTACCGATTACTCGATTATCGTTCTTCAACCTCTGAATATCGTCTTAACCAGGGTTTTTTTGCTAGCTTGGTGCTATCAATGCCGCCAAAAAAGGGAGTTTCTGTGGAGCAACGACGTGCTCTGCGAAGATGGGCGCACCGCCAGGTCCCAAAACTAACACAAAAACAGTACATTGAGTGATCCTTAGCTGAGTACGGCCATCGATTAAGCCAGTCCACAGTCTCCGAGTCTTTGAGCAAGACCTTTGCGAAACTCAACGAAGCTCCAAGTACTAGTGCGCTACGACAGCGAGCTGGAAACTGGCCTGACCTTGAGAGTATTAGAGCAATTAAAGACGGCATTGGGAGTATAAAAGAGGCATCAAAAGTACAAAATAGCCTAGATAGTTGGATTAGATAATGATATCCTTTTAAAGCGATATCCTCTATATGACGATATTTTTCAGGGCCCCGATTACATCGTCTTAACAGGGGTTTGACTGTACATGAGGAACTCACGTGCTGTGCGCGGGCACGACGTTAAATATTATAAATAAACAAACAAACAAAAGCCGTTGCACTGAGCAATTAAACCTACCCCGAAAGTACTCAGCAAAAAGACGGTTCAAAACCTTTGGTTGTTCAGGTATGCCTTCGCCATCCATGAATACAAGCAACGTGAGAAGTGTAATTGAGCTTTTCAAGATTCGAACCAGCCATTTGCTGTCTCAATTGGGATTTGTTCCCAGGCGTTCTAGTCTCTAGATGGAAAACTGGCCTGCATGAGTGAGTGATATTTTTATAGCACTACCTGTGTTTGAGACTATCTAGTATATTAGACTCCTCTCTGACCCAGGCCACACCTTTCACAGTGCTCCTATCTTCTTTTGTTACTTGAAAGATCATAGATAAATTGCCCATGATGAATAGCTATTCGTCTCAGTGTTTACCCGTGGAATTCGGCCACCTTTTCCACGGAACCTTCTACCTAAAAAAAATAGAAATAGTTGCAATGGAAACTGCGTGCGCGGGAAAAGGTCTCAAAAAATCTGCAGCCCCAGCCAAGCGAGGCCTAGATACCGGGACCACACGAGGTGCGCATATTCGTCTGTACTTTCCTTATTTGTTGTCGGTAAAAGGATAATATTTGGGCAGTTTGAATTGTTCTATCTAATTGAGGTATTCAGGTTGTCGATAGGACATTGACAGGGATCTGACTCAGCTCATTAGCGAGGCGCTTGGAGTAGAGGAATTATATTAGATTAGATTATTTATTGTAGCCCCTACTGAGTCTAGGACTATGGAGGACTTGGAGTAGAGGAAGAAAGGAGAGATGGAGAGGAGAAGGGAGAGACAACGTTTGATGTATTTCGAGATACCAGTTAGTTGACATAATCCACCGACTTCTTTTTTTTTTTTTTTGCATCAGATTTTAATTGCGTATGCAGCTATCTAGCTGTGACACAATATCAGAGAAGTGTATGATAGATGACTCAATTTACAAGAAGAGCACTCATGCCTCGGATTTCATTTGCAAGTACCACTGCGAAGTTATGGTGGCTTTTTCTTCACCCCAAGTCAACCCTCATCCGTTAATACCCACCCAGGGGAACATCTCAAAAACCCTGAGTTATCCAGACATGCCTCCGTCATCCATCAACTTTTCTCCGCGCGAAATGTAATCTGAGATGTCTCCTTCCCAAGTGGAGTAGGTGCCTAGGCTACTCAAACTATACCGGAGAACATCACCAGGAGGCGGACCACAACACCTTCCATCGTTTGCTTGTTTTTATAGTGTCAGCTGCACTCTCGCAAGCGAAGTCTTGGCGCGCACAAAGCTCAATTCGTAAAACTGCTTGCCAAAATTCGGAATTTCACTCCCTTCAAGGTTATATCCTTCCCTTGCATCATCTTGTAAACTTGTCCTGATCCCTCTCACGTCCATCCCAAAGAACTGTCTCCCAGATTTGTGCGCCACGCTATGCTTCCTCCGTCGGGTATAAATATCGGCGTGGGCGTGTATTTGGTGGTCAACTGAGACCAGAGAAGGTCGAAGGGAGGTGTGGTCATCGGGATGAGGATGTACTTGGTCGTACTTCTAGACTTGTTGAGACGAAGATAGGAGTCAAACTCGTTGGGAGCGAAATAACGACATGGAGGAGTAATTTGGATTTTTGCCTCGTGGGCCAACTTCTTTGATATTGCGAAATTTGACTGAACTTGGCTCTGGGAGAATATTTCACTCCCAGGTTCGTAGAGGACACCGCGTACAGGTGTTCAGTCTTGCCCTCCGTATATTATATTTATGTAGGTGGCGTAGCTAGTATTGTCTGGATCCACCACAAATGATTAAATAGTGTAAGCGGATGCATATTTAAGTATGGTCAGCTCTAGTTATGCAGTTATGTAATATATGAGGACTGGGAGTTATGCAGGCATCCAAGGTGATCCGTGCATACACACACATAGGAAGGGCGGTCTTTCTGGTTGAACATGGGTAGAGAACCTTAGTGATTTAGTTGTAATACAAGATTGAGCCAATAACGTTTACAACTAGTAATTAAGAAAATTTACTTTTATGGAGTTCACCCGATCCAGTCCGGCCCTATTCACACTCAAGCACCCAAATGAGTGAAGAGGGTGCCATTTGCCTAACATGTTAATTAACCAAAAAAAGGTGAATAGCCATTTTAACCTCACTTTTTGCCATAAGTGCAAGCCTGCTAGCCTGCGCGGTTTGAGCTCCAAATTCGAAAACTTTTTGCTCTAATTCTAGTTGAATTGACAAAGGAAAATCTCTCGTTCTACTCTGAAAAGACGAATCCCACTCTTTTTTTTTTTTTGTTCATTAACGTGCTCGGTTAAGTGACTACTGTTGCACTCCTATTGGAGCTTAAGCTCGTGTGGGGTTGGGCCGGATCAGGTTAGCTACCGCGAAGTACATGTATACCTCAACCCACTTAAATAACCGGACCACCTCACACTTCACCAATGTGTTGAATCATACCAAGCCTACCCGTCCAGAAACCCGCTGTTTACACGCCGTAGCGCAATTTCCTCCTCAGCCTCGGCCACCACGCGCCCGAGCCCTTGACATCCTCATTGACCCCGAAATATAAATGCTGTCCAAGATCTTATTGTTGCTCTAGCCTTGTACCTTCATATCATAACGTTGGGTTGTTTTCTTCATTGGGGGTTTGCGTAATCCCCTCGGTGTATCTTCCCTCTTCTTCCTTCCTTTGTACACGTCCCGTTTCCATCATGACTTTCATCATTAGGGCGTATGTAGGTAGGTGATTGGACGAGTATGGAAGTGGGTCGCAGGTATAGGATCGACTGAGAAATGCTTCGTCGCAAATAAAAGAGGAGTTTGAGAGATGTCGGATGTTTGAATACGACCCCCAAACAGACCTAAGCACATTCGTGAATTGTATGTTAGTGGTGATGAGTTTTTAAACGACTTTGTTGCGGCTGTGAAATCTTTGACGGCTGATTTTTCGACCAAAATATCGGGTGCATCTCCTTCAAGTCGAAAATCCATTAAATAAAATTCATCCCACCCTTTTTCGTGACTGAATCTCGGCTCTAGGAGAATATTTCACTCACAGGTTCGTAGAGGACACCACTGACAGGTGTTCAGCCTTCGTCCTCCGCGAATCACACTCTTGCTGGGCTACTCACCAAATTTGACCGGTTTATCAATAATATGTTGTAGATTTTTAGGATCACGCACAAAAATCACAGAAGCATTTGCCGCTAGACTCTTGTCACGCAACGTGTGGAAACCCGAGCCGTACAGAGATTTTAGCCCTATCTTCCGGACGTATCTATGGGGTTATGTTAAGGTTGAAATTGTCCTGGCTTGAAAATATACAGCGCGAAGAGATTTAGCGTATTCAACAACAAGGCTGAGCAAGACCGTTGTCCAAATTCTGATACTGCTTTATGCATGACGCTTTGACGAATGATTCCTGTCATGGAATGCGACACAACTAACGATTACGAGGAATCTTAAGCTTCACAATTTATTCCCCTACGTGGTTTTTACCTTATACTTGAATCCAAAAAAATCGCTTTCAGAAAACAATGCCGCTTGGATGGGAACGCATCAATTCGAAAAAGTCGACACCCAATAAAAATATTGTTTTCATTAAACCTCGACCCGGACCTGATCAATCTATGTCACAGGACTACCTCGAGCGTATTGCTGCACAATGTGTTCCAATAATGAACAAGAACTTTCTATCGGTTGTATCCCTCGAAGAATATGAGCCTAATTTTGAATTCTGGGGTAAGTGATATTGTCATATCAATAAGTATGTTAATTCATCAAACTGTCTTCGATTCTAGGACGAAATTTTAATCACGGAGAGGTGATTCAGCTTGTCCTAAAGTCTCCTACAACTGGTCGTTGGTTGCCTTTTAAATTTGTTCAAATGGTCATGATGCATGAGCTTGCCCACTGCAAGCAAATGAATCACTCAAAGGCATTCTGGGCTGTGAGGAACAGCTTCTCCAATCATGTAAAAGAGTTATGGGCTATAGGCTACACTGGAGAGGGCTTGTGGGGTAAGGGGGTACTACTTAAAAACGAAATGATTTCACATGAAAACATTGAGGAAGGGGATATTATGCCGGAAAACCTCTGCGGTGGAACATTTAGACCTAAGTCCTACAAAAAGCGAAAAGCTAAGCCTACAATCACTTATCAAGAGAGAAAAGAGCGAAGAATATTAAATAAATTCGGTACGAACGGAAAAGCTCTAGGTTCTGATGAAAATATGAAGAGCAAGCTTGAGAAAAAAAGTTACCACGTGCAGAGACCAAGAGTTGCTGCGAGCCTGAGAGGTAGAGAACTACGGGCAGCTGCTGCTCTCGAGAGGGTTGAGACTCTAAAGCAAGTGCCAGATATTAAGGCTGTTGAAGTCGTGGATCCAATCGATATTGAAAGTGGATCTGAGTCTGAGAATCATTCGAGACTAGAGCTGAACGGAGGAACCGATGCAGAGAATCTTCAACTTTTGGATAAAAAATGCAGAGATATGGTTAGAGTCTGTGAAAAAGAAGACCAAGATAACCCAGATTCGAAAGATGAGATACAAGAGCTACTTAAGCTGTCTAGTTGTAACATCAACAAACTCCCTAGTCGCACAACCTCAGAACCAGCAATTCAAAATACCCCTAAACTGGAGAAATCTGCTGATCAGTTGAAAAATAAAGTTAGAAATACAGCGTTTGAAATTAAATCTGTTAAGATAGAGAGCAATGAATCTAAACAGGGCACGCAAGAGGATCAGGTTAACCACCTCATGTGCCCAGTTTGCTCTTTCAGCGGCAACGAAAACTCCTTAACCTGCGCAGTTTGCCTTCATGTTCTTAAGCCGGCATCCATGCCAAACTCCTGGCGGTGTTGCGATCCAAGATGTAGTAACAAATTGTATATTAATTCCGGTGATGTCGCATATTGTGGAATTTGCTCCGGTAGAAGGAGCTCTAGTCCAAACATTTGAAAGGTGAACATTTGCTTCAGTAAAGTTGTAATTGTGACTTCTTTAATGTATCTAGAAATCGCCACTCAGGCATTCATAATCCAAGATTATTTCCACAGACTTTAAAACTTTTGATATTACCAAGGAGCACATCTTTGATCATTGGATCAGAGTTGGAAAAGCCTAGGAGTTCATCCATCTTACAAGGCCCCCTAATTTTTATTGAGTGTCCTAGAGAGATTATTATGCAAGGGAAATAGTATAACTTCAACTTCGATTATATTTTAGAATCATAACAACTCAGGTTTCTATTTTATTTCTTTCAGCCCTTTCAGGGACCTCATGGACTCATTCAGATGTATGTGGCTATAAAATTTACCAGAAACTAATTCGGTGAATACTTTCTGATACTATTTTTCTTAATTTTATTAATTTCTAGGGTTTCCTTAAGGAAGTGCGCTGAAACTGGGATTTCAAGTGTGAATTCTATCCTATCATTTTCTAAGTTCCTCCATGTTTTCCTTGACTGGTGCCTCAGCTTCTCCTGTAAGTCGAAAATTTTCAAGCCAACCGTTTTTGATCCAATCGATGATTCTTTACATGTCATATAAAATGTTCATTATGGCTTCATAAGGCATATCTTTTGCTGGTCTTAGCACCTATATTCTTGCCTTTTTCTACCGAAAAAATAACAATACTGTATGTCAGTCGGCTTGTGACGATTATCCAACCTCGTCAGAAGGAAGAACAATCGGGCTATGAAGTAGTTAACGTTGCTGAGACACGTGACATAAAATTATGTTCTAAGGTTCACTTCGGTAGTTACTTGAATAAGTAGAGACACACCTCCACTCTGTTCTTCGACTAGCTGGCGCTGACCACTTTCATCCGTTGGCTTAAAGATCCAACGATGCTCAAGCACATATCAGCCTAAAAGAAAAACTACGGCTTATCCCTCTATTTCTCCGTCCTCGGCTTGTACCGCCCACCTATAGATCCCCTCTGAATTTCACTCGAGGTGATTAAACTGTTGACAAATTTGCCACACATGTCCTTGATCTATCACCGTGGGATATTCTTGTCTTCTCGGATGGCTCATAGTAAAAAGATGGATCCGCAGAGGCAGGTGCTGTTGTTTTCCACAAGAACTGTTATGAATCTACTAATTGGCAGATTTTCGAGGCTGTTAAGCTGCAGAGGTCGAGTCGTTTTCGAAGAAAAATTATGGAAGGTTCGAAGTTACCAAGGTGCGAATGTGTGAATTTGCGAATTGATTATAAAGAGACAAATGTGTTAGAGAAATAGATAATGTCCTAGTAGATAGAACGTGGAACCTCCAGTATCGGATTACACGGCTCGCTTGGTTACGAGCCGTGCACTGTCTGGACAATAGACGCGTCAGTTAGTAATCAATGAGTAATGTAAGCGACGAGTCGTAGAGACGATCTGTCAAGTGAAGGAGTAGTCATTCTTTGATGACACAAGTCATTGACAAAGTACTTCTCAGTTATACGAGGGAATGAGACACGTTTAGAATAGAGTAGATAATTGGAACACAGTTTGGTGGATGAGGACTTCTATAAGACCCAACTCATATCACTACTCTGGGATATCAATTTAATACTGATTCATCTACGCCTTACATTTGCTGTGCAGTATCTCTTATCAAGTTATACAAGTGATCAGAGTACGTATATTTTAATAACATGAGGTAATCGAGGCTCGGATTATCAAAGGTTTCGAATTCATGTGTTTAAATTATTACACTATCAAAATAGCGAGTTCCAAATAAGGAAATTGTCCAAAACCCAAATTGCTAGATGTAGAGAACAAATCTAAATTCCGTTGCCTCAGCCCTAACCAAATGAAGAAAATAACCCCTGTACCACCACATCAACACAACATTTAACAATTCCATAACAAGAACAAAACCATAGCCGAATTGGGAGTCACCCTAGGCCCTAACTTTGGGATCCATGAATCCGAGATCATTGGTGCCATTGCAGGGCTTAAGGCTGCCATAGCAGCTCCTTTTTACCTCCTTGCGACTAACATCCATATGATTCTAGGTAATCAAGAAGCAGCACGACGCTTTCTTGATTGCTCACCCTTCAAGACTTCACAAAAAGAAATTTTAGAATTTCGAAAACTGGCCTCTCAGCGGCCTTCGAGAAGAATTCTGCCAATCGTAGCTCCTGGAGAAGTCTATGTGATGTTTTTATGGCCAGGCATCCTTGAAGAGGTTTCAAGGAGAAGGTTCTCAGGAAAAGGTGATAGGAGAAGGTTTCCAGGAGAACTCCGACAGTTACAGATGGAGGGGCTGGCGTCATGACGGCATTTGTCATAGTCTTAGTTGAGTTCAAGTACTATCTCGAGTTAGACTTAAGGAAGCTGGAGCTGCCACATAGTAGCTCTCCAGCTTCTTAATCTTTCATTCTTTTGATCTTTGATCTCGAAATCTAGCATTTACATAATATTATAATATTATAATCTTATATTCTCAGTCTTTTGTTATTCGTTACATTCTTCGTACTTCTGTGCACCCTGAGTTATCAGCCTTGATCGCTTGCTCGGCAATTCGACTTCTTGATTTCGTGTCTTTCGACTATCCTGTAGTTCTACGACTTTTGACCACCTCGCACCTTGCCGATCGAATTATATCTAAGTATCCTTCGTTAGCAACTATAATCCTAACAGTTATTAATACCTTACCTTCGGCAGACGGCGATCCCCAGTGTCCTTAGCGCACGTCCTAACAGATGTGGTCCCCTTGGCATGTGGGTATTGCTGGAAACGAGCTGGACGACAAGTCGGCAGATGAGGCTGCACACCAATCGGCTCTCCCTTTCGCATCTCTTGCTGGAGTACACGCAAAGATAAAAAAGTATATCAGGGACCTGACATTCACATAGTGGCAAAGCCATGCTCCCTACACCTATTGCGAGCTTGGAATGCCATTTCCCAATAAGTCTCCCGTCGAGCTAAGACTTCCTCGCCGCTATTTTTTGGTATCTTATTCAGTGCCTACCACAATATATTCCTTCATGAATATGCCCTCTTGACTTGTTCCGGTTGGGGTCTCAAGTCTGTAACCCATTTAATTTTTTGTCCATTTGTTCGAAAAAGACTGGCCTCTATGGGTCACCGTAGTAGTTTGGGTAACTTCTCATCTCTTTTCGGCACTTCTTGTGGTGCTAAAAGATTTTCTTTAATATTGGAGATGACCAGATTCCTGTCGAAATCTGCCCAATCCGCGCTATTTGATGCATTTTATGTAAGGGCTTCGCTGAACAACGCTCACAAGAGCTTCATAAGTTTGTTTCAGGCCTTCTTGCTCTCTTTAGATTACATGATATTGTAGATTAAATCAGTCACCGTGTCCCCTCAGGGACGGGGCTATAGTTATAACTGTAGCCCGGTGGACATTAAATATAAATAAATACTTGAATGAGTCGGCTCTACAGCTTCAATGACTGAGGCATGGTGGCTAGGCCAAGCCCGTATCATCTCCCAGCGGAACAAGAAAGTTGGCACCAGCGTTGGCTGGCACAAAAATCTGTTGGATAGAACAATCTTAAAGGCAATTAGAGCAGTACTACCTGCTTGGCTTAAAGCCCCAAAATTGGTTCTTTGAAGAGAGTCAGGCATTCCAATCGTAGCAATCCTTCTAGACCAGAGACAATTTTGGTCAGCAGCGCACATACAACAACTGTATTTATGGTACCAGCGAGCTATGAGATCTAGAGAGATGCCAAAGAACGTTGTAAAGCGCCTCGAACTACGAGCAGTCCAGAAAGCCCGACTTATCACTGCTCCAGAGAAATATCTGACACGACTCTAGCATAGTGCTCAAAATGTACCGATTGCTGAAGATCACGGAAAACTTCTATACCCGGAAGCCCATCCCCCGAGGCTCCTACCGTGTGGATACTCGAGGGACAAAAACAGTTGGCGAGTGCTCAAAAGTTGGCGTGGGTTCAAATCATAAGATTCTAAACTAAAGAGAAAAATATCTAGAAGGATACGAATCTATATATATGTGCATAGGAATTCCTCAACTGTCCAAATAAAGTTATTAACACGAAACCTCCTATCTCTGATTGTCTACAGCCCGAGGGTTTTGTATGAACACCAACATCTACGGAAAATCTTTAAAATCGTGGTTCGTCTCAAACAAGAGTTATTAGACTTTTTAGGAAAAATGAGGTTTGCATTTGGTAAAATAAAAATCTGTCTATCCTTTTTTTTAAGGTCAGAACCTCTTCTATATATCCAATGATCATATTTGATCCAACTTCTACATCAACTTAATCCGAAACATCCAGAGCGACGTTTAATGTGATGGTCAGACTTGCTAGGGCACTTGGAGGTAGACTGGTGGAAGAATCCGGGATCACATGATAATGTATAACGGGGATGCAGGCCGGACTAAGGTGGAGCCGCGGTCGAGCTTACCTCAAGCTCGTAGCTCCTAGCACTTTCTTTCTCTTTGTCTTTTCTTCTACCTACGTATCGTAGCCTAATGTCCAAATACAACTTCTTCTTAGAGACCCGCATCATCTTCAGATCAGTCGTAACATAAGAAAAGACCTCTTACTCCGCTGGGAAGCAATAAATTCACGTTCGAATCAATTGCTCCGACCTGCCTTGAGCAATTCGGACAATCCTCAACACTTCACTCTCGAACTGCCCTGAGCAATCCGTGAGTACCTTTGTAGATAACCTTTCATTTTCTACAGCCAGTAGAGCCTAAACCTCACTGTCCCAGAGCAAGCTGGAAATCCCTATTCATTGTACTCCACCTGCCTTGAGCAATTCGAGTAAATTTCGACCCTTCCAGCAACCCAGGAGCACCCATTTTTCGACTATTTAACCTGAGACCCTCATGCTATCCATCTAGAAAGACTCCTATCCGGTAAATATAATGACAGACAGCTTTACCCCAGCACAATTAACAGTCGTGAAAGCTGCTGTTGCCGCCGCCGTCAAGGTTGCTCTCGAGACTGACAGAGTAGAGAGAG